GGCATCAATGAACCTCCGTGAGGGCACTGAGGAGGATTGGGCACCGTATACTGAGGTGTTATCCTTTCCTCCCCAGGTGGGCTGCCCTCAGGGACCTGACAATGGTAGGACCATTTAGCCGAGGTCCTCTTAGACAAAATAATGTTCCGCAGATCCGTTTTCGGTCTAGAAGACCCTAACGGAGAGCATCGCCCCGACCCCCGATCTTTCTGCTCCACCACTGGCATCGCCCCATATCCCTTATCATTCAGCCCCACGATGTTCTTTTGCATAATTCGAGACTATGGGGCTGTAAATGCGGGATGAGTACGGTTTCTCCCACGATCTTGACACCTCAGCATGGAGATCGGGGGAAAACGGAAGGCCCCCGTAGTGAAGGCTGTGATCTGGATTCAGAAAACGCTCGTCTAATTATTTTTAGGACGAGCGTCCTGTTTCTAGGCTGGCCAAACGATATTTTATTTTGGCGAATGCACGAAACACACCCCATAATCACGAATCACACCTCATACGCGAGGAACTGTGGTGGCGAGTCCACAGTCTCCTCTGTTTCGACAACAGTCTACGCCGTGCCTCGGCAACAGCGGGACCGCTGCTAGCGGAATCGCGAGCCTGGCCGCTCTCATCAAACACAGCCAGGTGAGAGCGGAACAAACAAACAAACGACACACAAATCGTGTGTATCCCCCGCCGCCAGATATCGTGGGCAGGGAGGAACACAGCGTTTGTAATGCCGTTCGCTCGCCATAGACTTTTTCATGATTGTTTTTTATATATGCTTGTGTGGACAGACAACAGTAAATAGACAGACACATACACAGAGCGCTACTGAAGAACAGAAGCTGGTTTGCGCTCTGCCGGATGCGCTTTTATACTTTCTGGTGCTTACATCACCCCGCTCGTGACATTTCGCTATTCCATTGGACTGATTTGACACGTGCTTCAGAACGCGGTCACGCAAGGGCATTCCCAAAGTAACTTCGACGCAGCTCGAGTTCCTGAAGGGGAAGTAAGAATTCTGAGATTTAAACAGAATTGGAAGATATAACCACAGAATTGAAAGCAAAAAGTTATATCTTGGAAATCTGAGTTGTGAGAAAAACATCAGAATTGTGAGCTACATTTATCTTTTTTTTTTTTTTTTTCGTGGCTGAAATAAGATTCCATCGTTTGTCTTTATTCATTTATAGATTATAGCATTCTACAGTATAGTACAGTTGCCTATTTTACCTTGGGAAAAAAATATTTTCTCTTGTGCATGTTTACTGACTGTGAATTTATATTTATTAATATATTATACATTACCAGTTTTATTAACCAGTTGGGGTGCCTAGTGTTAGCATGCTATCTTGTTTTCATATCTTTGACCAGCTGGCAGGCTAATCTCTTATTTCATTACACGCATATTACAGTAAGTGTTTGGCCGTGTCTAGATTTATTTTTCAGGCAGACCATGTCAATGATAATACAAATCCTGACTGGGCCCTGTTTCTAAAGTTAGGAGTGGTAAACACTCCTAGGTATCAGTGATTGAAAGAAGAGCTTTAAAATTATTTACATAATATCTGGCTTTTTCTATCCCAGCATATTTTCAAAGCTGTGGATGAACATCACATGCCTTCCATCTGCAGCACTATCACATGCACACTTTGTCAGTACTCTGCATATTTTAATACGGGTAGGGTTTTTCTAATTATGAGCATGATCACATTAACATAATCACAGTATTCTGTTTGCATTAGCTTCAAGTACTGCCTTAATCGCATTATGAGGGAAAATCTAAACTTGATAGCAAAATATAAAATAAAGAATTATTCTTAAAGAATTACTGTTTTTTTGTATTTTTTTGTCATTCCCTTTTGCTATTTTTAATCAGGTGTTATTATTCAAACATACTCCTTTTCTGCGAACTGACTAAATAATAATTTACTGTAATGAACTGAGTTTACTGACAACATGGTGAGTTAAATAGTATACAGCAAATATATACCCAATACTACAGTTTACAGTAAATGTATAATGAAGGCATATTTTCAACATTCCAAATACAAAAGGTAGTGTATTAGGACACAGCTCAAGGCGTGGTGAAGACTGTCACCTTTAACAAAATTGTGGTAACACTTTATACAAAGCAACCAAAAGAATCTAGGGTATAAAGGAAATAACATTAGTCTTAGTACAGAGCCTTGTTGCATTCCACTTATGAAGGTGCAGGATATGCACTGATGGCACCACAATGGGGTGGCAAGAGGGGCACAATAAAAAGTCTATAAAATATAAATAATAGAAAAGGTGTCACGCCCCTGGACTGACTGTGTGTGTTTTTGCTCCCCATGTGCTCCGTGACCTAGTTTTCCCTTGTGTTTGATTGTGTTCATTGATTCCAGGTGTGACTCATTTATTCCCTCGTTGAGTTGTGTATTTATAGTGTAGTCTGCCCTATGTTTCCTTGTCGAGTCTTAAACGTCAACTCCATGTGCTACGTGTGTGTTCCTGCCTGTCTTGTATTCCCCACGGTTTGGATTAAATAAACTGTTATTGTAATTCTCCTACATTCTCCTCATTCCTTGCTCCAACGCAGTAGCAACCCTGACAGAAGACAGGACCCATCAGTAAGCGGCGCCGTCGTCTGAAGATGGTCCTCGAGTGGGTGTGGAGTGGATACTGGCGAGAAACGGATCCCCGTTCACCGTCTCTTCGGAGGAGGATCTCGCCAGTTCCACTCCGGACCAAGAGCCCAGCCCACCATCATCCCACTGTGCGGAGCTCAAGCCCGAGCCCACCATTGACGGAGAGCCCGAAATCACCGCGACCGACGAACCATCGCCACAAGGGTGACAGAGCTGAGGATCGCCGCGGCGCTGGAGCTGTTTGAGCCGTCAGACCAGGTGCGATAGCCGGCTGCCACGCCCGCCATGAGGGAGAAAGCCATGGCCAGTGAGATCGCGGAGGGGAGCTCCGCCCACTGCAATATAGCTGAGGGTGAGCTATTTAAGGATCTGGGTGAATGGAAAACGGAGGGAGACCTTATAGACTTGTGGACTGACCTGCCCACTCTCCTCCCTCCTTTGGCAGAGCCCTCTGACACTCCTGGACGTGCCTTCCGTGAGGGGGGCGAGCTGTCACGCCCCTGGATTGTCTGTGTGTGTTTTTGCTCCCCATGTGCTCCGTGACCTAGTTTTCCCTTGCGTTTGATTGTGTTCATTGATCCCAGGTGTGTCTCATTTATTCCCTCATTGAGTTGTGTATTTATAGTGTAGTCTGTATCCTTGTCGAGTCTTAAACGTCATATGTGTGTGTGTGTGTTCCTGCTTGTGCTGTGTTCCCCGTGGTTTGGATTAAATAAACTGTTATTGGGCCTATTGTAGTTCTCCTCGTTCCTCGATCCAACGCTGTAGCAGCCCTTGACAAAAGGGCTCTACATAATCGTAGCCAAGGAATAAGGGTCTTATTATCAAAATGATCAGTCATTTTCTAAAAAAAAAACATAAATAAAAATTGTATATACTTTTTAACCACAAATGCTTGTTTGCATTGAAACTGCAATTTAGGCCTTCAACCCGTTGGCTCCCATTTAAGTCCACAATATGGAGAAAAATCCTGGAATGTTTTCCTAAAAAAAAATCTTAATTTCTTTTTGACTGAAGAAAAAAAAGACATGAACATCTTGGATGATGACTAATCCTTTCATATTAATAAAACTGAGTTTTATTAATACTGCTTTTTATTTTCAGCCTATTTCATGGTAATCATTTTTTCATATTCATTGGCCTGGTTTTTTGGGAATATTAATACAATTAGGCTGTGTTCGGTTTTAAGGACAGTTTTGATTACCTTTCCACGCTATACAGTTGTGTGTGTCAAGTTGCCACTTGATGTCACTTGTAAACTCTGACTCCTGAAGCAAAAATAAGGTATATTTTCGTCTTGAAGACGTTGGTTTGTTTATCCCCTCCCCTTACGCTCTCGAGCGCTCTTTTTTTCTCCCTGCTCCGCTGCAGCTGCTCGACGAATGAATGGCATCTTTCTCAACATCACGTAAACGCCGACGGGGGGAGCGAAAGCATCTTCCTCTCGTGCTCGCCTCGGACGGAGCAGCCTGAAAACCCCACTCCGTTCATGGTTAATTTATAGCTTTATCACACAGCAGGTTGCAGTACATCTGATCGTTTTACGAAACGGCTCGGTGTCCGGCCGTATGAATAAAAAAAGAGAATACCCCCTTTTATTGATGACAGAGACTCACTGTTCAAACAGCATGAAATAATTCCATTGAATGAAGGAACTGGAGCCGGGAAAGACAGCATGAAGTTACAAATCTCCGGTCTTTTGCTCGTAATGGCAGTAGCCTATGCAACGATAGAGGGTGAGTAACCTACTGCACTTGAAACGGATAATCTTTAAGAATTGCCGTGCATTTCTCCGTGTGTGGTTGCATATATCATTGCAGAGTTTTACTTATTTCACAGTCCGTTATTAAAATGATGCAAGTGCTTTTGGCTCCAATAGACTCTCTGTGACCTAAAATGTTAATTTAGACGAATTTATAAATGTTCAGAATGAAGCCACGTATTCAAACATTATCAGACGTTTTATCTTGTGCTTTCAGCCCTGCAACAAATTAATTATACAAAATAAATTCGTCTCATGCTTAATTTACGCTTATTGCTAGGCTTCTAGCGCCCTCAGCTGGGTCTCTGAGTGTTAATGTTTTGTGTGATCCGTGACTGAACCATACACTTTTACTGGTTTTCCACCCTTCAGATGTGTCATTTTGGACCAGCTTTGTAACAAACAAACAAAAAAAGATTTTAATAGACACCAACACTTTGATGTGTTAATAGTATCACACTGAAGCAGTAATGCAAGAAAATGTGTTTTGTTTGGATTTGGCAGAGTGTAAAAGTGAAGATATGGGGGTTCTTATCAATGTAGAGGCAATGAAAGCCTTCATGTGCAGCTTTAATCCAAAAATGAAGCCGCTGGACTGGATTTTCGTTTATCTTGTCTGTCAGCAACACTCTGGAGTGAAATACTTCACATCTTTTCTCTTCCTCTCTCTGTTCATTGAAATGAGAGAAATTGTTTAATCAAGGGGAAATTGCGGTCAAACTTGGCATTCATAGATTCACCGAATTGCAGTTCTGTTGTAAAGGAAATTTTAGATTCTGTTTTATATTTGTAACACAAGGCCTATATAGCCACTATTAAATTTGCTATCTTGAATATCAGCATGGCCATATGCTGAATAATATTCCATGCTGATATTCAGTATAGTATAACAGCTTGATGGTGAGTGTGATGTTATTTTTATACAAAAATTCCTAAAAGTACTTAGTATCAAGTAATTTTTAATTGCGATATGGCTGGTTATTATGTCCATTCCTGCTGCATCTATACAAAATGGTTCCAAAGAGGTCAAAGCAGGATAATTTGACTGAAAGCATATATGTAACGTCATGAATATGCTTATTTGACTCTTGGCTTTTGATTCAGCCCTAAAATTTACCCTAAACTACCTTTTACCCTTAAAAGACCAGACCAGATGTTTTGCTGTCGGGGAAGACAAGAGAACATTTGTTCACATTTGTGGCCAGTGACTAATGAGGTCATGTCTGTGAATTTTGTACATCTATATGCAAATAACTCCAAGGTTTTCATGATCTTTTATTTGATTCTGTAAGAAGGAAATAACATTATTTTCACTGTAGCACCAGATGAATGCAGATGTCCTTGAATCGAGAGGGTTATTCATTGCGAGTCTGTGTTTTTTACTCTTTGTGTAGGGATGTCCTATAAATTGCAGCATGCTCGAGTACATTAAAGTAGCTTTGAACGTCCTGATGCAATTGACAGAAATCTCACTTTTATTGAGGAGAGAAAAGAACTCATTAACACAATGAATGAAGAGCCAACAACTTCACGCATAACCCTTTTCCCACAAAATTTTAACTTGCCTTTACCTTGAAATAGGCTTGTACACACTTCAAAATGCATATACAAATACAATCTATTCACACTCTCTTGCTCACCCTCCTCCCCCTTCTTGTCTTTTGATTTACACGTCCTTATTCACTCCCTGGTAGGTTGAATCGTAAACCCAAGCGAGATGGCCTGCCCTGCGCACAGTCTTTATTTATGGTGTCATTTCATATACTTGCTGTTGCAAGACCCACAGCCCTGCTGAGCTGGAAAAACAGCTTCCCACAGACAGGCTGAGAAACCTTTTTGCCAGGGCACGACAGACTGCGATGAGAAAGGAAGTGATGCTGGTCGTTCAGCAACGATAGGCGTAACATCCTGTAAAAATGTAATTAATGCGGTGGAGCACAGATTGCTATGCCATTAATGATGGAGGATACCTTACAGAGGACATTTATGGACAACCCCGACCCCCAAATACATGCACTTAATTTTTATTTAATGGATCCTACCTACATTTATAAACTGATGCATTTATAAACTAGCTAGGGCATATCAGGAAAGGGCATATGTAAATGGAGAAAGACAAAACCAAGGAGGAAGAGAGAAGAGGAAGGGTAAAAGAATGGACAGAGAGTAGGTTTATAATAATCATAAAAGCCAATTAGGCACAACACTTATATTTACAATGCATGACCTCTGGCGTGTTTTTCTGCATAATAAACATGGCTGTGAAATTTTATTTTATTAAGAAAATTCATTCTATGTTACCCTTCCAATAGATCATACTGTATATTCCTTGACATGTAGATGTACATTATATTAAATTTATATTATAAAATGTAAAATTATATCAAATTACATTATATACATGATATTAAATATACGTAAGCTGTTGCGGTATTGTATATTTTAGCATGTCTGGAATATACAGGACTGGGACCATCCTAGTCATAATGACCTAAAATAGAATTATGAATTATACTGTATAATGGAATTAAGAACTCTCAGTGAGTGCATGCATGAATGTTCTAGAAGCATTCTGAATATAACAATCATGCGGAGAATTACAGTGTAAACTTTCATTCAAGCTTTATTATTCTGCATCTCAACCAGTCAGAAATACATATTCCATGAAAACAGACTATTTTTGTAAATGCCCATTTTATTTGTTGTTACATATCCATGTCTGAAATAGTGCAGACATAGGCCTTATTTACTTGTAAACAGAAAGTCAATGTGTAGCATGTACCATTTTTTGGGGAAAGTGGAGTGTTGTTCATTTTAAAGAAATAATAAAGAAAAGCATTTGCAGATAAATATACTGACAAAAGATAAAGAACAGCAGTAAATGCTTTATGAAAATGCTATTTACAGGGATAGTTAATACTAAAATTAAAATTGTCATTATTTACTCTCATTGTTCCAAAATAAACCTTACTTTGTCTTTGAAACACACATTTTTATATTAGTTTTGTTTTTTAAATTCTCACATTTTTTATATAAATAGAAAGTATGTAATCAATGTTTTAAGCTTCAAAAAGTACCTAAAACATGATCACTTTAAATGATGAACAGATTTAGGTTTTAATTTAGGTTTTTATTCACTTATAAACATTTATAAACACACATACTGGGGTACGCACAAGAACAAATCTTTTGAATAGAATTTATATATGATGACATGATGACATTTGAAGTGACCTAACTCTTAAAATGTTATATTTAAAATTATTTAGCATTTTACTATTTACTATTTCATTTAATTACATGAATTAAATTGAATTAAGACTTAATATTTTTAAAGACATCTATTTATAACAATAGCAAAATATTTATTTAAAAAAAAAAACATTTTCTGCTCCATAGTTCAGTCAGTGTGTGTGTGTGAGAGAGAGAGAGTGTAATCATTAATGCTAGAGTGTGTGTATGTAGTCGTGGGCACATCTTGTTCTCCTGATGCTCTGTGTAGTGCGCTTGTCTGAGGTCATCATGTCATGGCAATGGTTGCGTCAGCAGAAGGAGCTCTGAGAAACATGGGCCAGCTGTCACTTCATGACTCTGTGCTCATCTAACACTCGTGGGAGAGTGTTTCTTAATTTAATGTGTGATTTCTCTAGATGGTAAATCCAACATGGACCTACTTCCTGCATAACGTATGCATGTATAGGCCTCTTATACTGGTAATCAGCATGGAAGCTTTAGATTATGCTTTACCTTATCACCACATGCCACCTGAGGCTGTTGTGTCATTTTAGTTCCTTTTAATTGTTCTAAAATTAATCCACCCTCTTTCTCTAGCTCCTGAAGAGTTTGTCTCACTAGCTGAGATGGAGGACACGTTGTTGAGGAATCTTTTTCGGGGCTATCAGAAGTGGGTGAGACCAATCCTTCACGCCAACGACACGATTACCGTTCGCTTCGGTCTGAAGATCTCGCAGCTGGTGGATGTGGTGAGACAAACACACATTTGCACTGCAACATCTGGGGCCGGTTGCATAAACTGCTTAGACTAGTCTTAAAAATTTAGTCATCTAATTTGTTTTTTCAAGGCTGGTCATAATTTTTAAAAGTCAGTCACAAAAAGTTAGATTGGCCCAATTTGAGTCAGAGAAGTAACACTGATTACCTCTTGGCTAACTGCTAGTTGGTTAAACTGTTTCTTAAGACAAAGTCTTAACATAGTGGCTATGTTTATGCAACTGCCCCCTGATCTTCAGAAGTCATGAAACGCCCTAAACAAATATGTCTTTACTGAACACAGTGTATAAACATGCAAAAGGCAGGGAGGAAAAAGTATGTGAATCCTTAGGCTAATGACTTCTTCAAAAGCTACTTAAAAACAGTCTTAATGCTGTCAGTTGCTTTGCTGTTGAAAAAACTCTGCATGGCTAAAGTTCAAAATGTGAAGTGGATTTTCAAGTTTATGTATTTTATGTGCTGGCTGTTTTTGTCTATTGTTGTTGCACAGCCAAGATGCATCTTCACATAATCAAAAACAGGTTCAAAGTCCATATGTCACTATATGGATGCCCGTTTCCGCCACTGAATAAAAAATATAAAAAAGATAACTGCGACTTTTTATCTCACAATTCTGACTTTTTTTCTTGGAATTGCACGTTTATATCACGCAATTCTGACTTTTTTTAGAATTGTGAGTTGCAAACTCGCCATTGTGAGTTATAAAGTCAGAATTGCGTGATACAAACTTGTAATTCTTACTCATTTTTCTCAGAATTGTGATATAAACTTGTGTGATATAAACAATTCTAAAAAAAAAAAGTCAGAATTGTGAAATTAAGTTATAAATTCCAATTCTGAGGGGAAAACAGAAAGAATTGCAATTGTGTGTTAAGTCAGAATTGCGAGATCTAAAATTGCAATTCTGAGAAAAAAGTCACAGTTGCTAGTTTATATCTCACAATTCAGATTTTAGCTCAGAACTGTGAGAAAAACAGTCTGAATTGTGAGATAAAAATTCTCAGTTACCATTTTTATATTTTTATTTTGTGGCTGAAATAAGCTTCCATAAAAGTCTCAATATGAACTCAAATATTTCTCATTCAATTCTTCCAAGACCAAAGGGTCTGAGCCACTATCTACCTTAAAGTATTGCAAAGAGCTGCATGAAGATTCTCATTTTCACAGAAAAATAAGAGCATATACAGGTTTGGCGAGACATGATGGTAAATTTTTTTTTTTTTCAGCGGACTGTTGCTTTAATGGCATCAAACAATGCTTTCTGAGCCTTCACAAATGGACTCTAAAACCTGAGAGTGTTGCCCTCTCGTCCTTCCATCATGCAACCCAGAATTTCAATGCAGCTCATGAACGTGGAGCAACACATCCTCAACACGTGTGTGCACGTCTGTATCTCAGGCAGTCACATGTTCAAACATCTCCCTGATGCAATGCAGCCACCTGAAATGATCCGTTCTGCAGCCTGACATCAAAGTTACTGCTGCTAGTACAAAATCCAGGGCCTTACAAATGGAAGATTTTTTTGATTGTACCTAGGCTTTTGAGATATAAAAAAGGGTAAAAGTTCTGTATCAGATATACATTTATATTTTACAGACAGGATAATAGTGGATGATATGTTTGTACAGGAAGCCACTGAACTGAAAAAAATAAACCTGCTGTTGTCACCTGCTGTTATGTCTCTAATCCCAAAGTATGTGCTCTCCTGGCAGGAAAAGCTGTTGCTTCCACTTGGATTGTGCTGCCATCAGTTGAAGAACAGGAAAATAGGCTATAATATATTATGATCATCGCATCAAACATCAATCATTTGTTCTTAAACAATATTACTGACCAGGATAAAACATGTTTCTGATTCTGAATGAAACATACCAAAAAAAAACATCACCTACAGAGGCAGCTACTTTGAAGTCAAATCAAATCAAATTCAAAATCATCGTTCTGTAGCCTACTCTTTAGATTATATAATAAATATTCCAACCGTCTATTTGTTATATGTTAAATCCCATCGCTAGAAGAAACGACAACTCTAGTCATCTTATGCCGAGTTCACACTGCACGATTTTCAAGGACGTCGCATCACTGTTGGTTTCACACTGAACGACTATCTGGGGTAGCATTCAGTTGTTGCTGTGTTCACATTGCACGATGGAACGACGACAGGAGGTTACACACTGCATGACTTCACAATAGGAAGAATCGCCGACAGCTCTGTCTGGTGCAGGGTTGCCAGGTTTTCGCTACAAAACCCGCCCAATTACTACTCAAAACTAGCCTGAAAATAGCCCAATT